GTTAAATTTAGTAATTCAAAATAAAATATTTATTTTAGTTACCTGAAATAAATCTACATGCTAAATTAATTTTATCACCATGTTCAATAAGTCAACAAGAATCAATGCAAATTTAATATCAAACATAACAGCAAAACTTGCTTTAAATCTTCATATTAATGAAACAGCAACAAATGGTGAAGATTTGGCTGATGATGAAGAACAAATTGAAGGTGATGAAGATGATCTTAATAGAGAAAATCTTAATAATAATCAAGATGAACAAGATGAAGGCTGGGGTGATACTGAAATTGAATTACTACCTGATCTTGTATGTTTTTATTCAAATATATAAATTATTGGTTTATTTAATAAATATTTTAAAATTATTATTTTAATTATTAAGGCGTGATGCACGTTCACCAAAATTATTTTATCTAGCAGTTGGATTTAAATTAGAAAAATTAGTTGTACGTTGTCAAATCGCTTATCGTTTAACAAAAAATGGAAAATTTCAAGATCAACAATGAATTGAAATATGTAAAGAAAATGTTGTTGATTTACAAATGTCAATGGCAAAAGAAGATTTAGCAAAAGATAATGAAAAACGTTCATGTGAATTAGCTACTGATTTTACTCATTTACAATTACAACCAATACATAAAATCATGACATTAAAATTTGCACTTAATCAAGCATTGGGAATTAATTTCTCAGGTCTACTAGTAAAGAAATCTTTATAAAAACATAGCTATCTTTAATGCACTCAAAGATATGTCATATCTGTTGATCGCAGTTGTTCATGTTGTTTTGATTTATTTGAAACAATTGAATTTGTTCTTTGTTAAATGAAACATAATTTTCGTTCAATTACTTTAGAATACGGACAAAAAAAACAAATAAAAACTTTATTATTATTTTGTTTAGACACGGAAAGAATTAAGTGTACATGGAAAGAATCCAAGTGATGAACATCCATTAAATTATGATGAATATAATCCATTTAATATTTGTGCAGCATCCAATGTACCACATTTATCGGTAAGAAATTTAAAAATGAAATCGAATTTAATTCAAAGTAATCTTTAAGTCTTGTTTAGTGAAAATCCATTATCCGGTGCAGCCCATTTATCGGAATTTATAGGACAATTATGTCGGGTTACAAAAGCAACTGAAATTGGAATTCTAATTCTATTATCATTATTATTAACTTTTATTGCATATATTTATCATTTTGAAAAAGTAACTTATCATTAGAACGTTTTTCTCTTATTTCAAGATAAAGAAATCCGTTTCTAAAACGAGAATTTAGAATCAATCCATGTGTTTGAAATAAGT